TTGTGTACTCACTTTGGTAAAATGCTTAACTGGTTTTGACGAAGTTCAAGAACTTTCAGTTGTGATAATCTAAAGTGAAAAGGATTATAAATCAGTCTAAATGATGTATGAATTGTGCGAATACTAATACAAATTATTGAAAATTATATTAAATCGCTATCCAGTGCAGGCAAGAAGATAACTTCAAGGGAAATAAGAAAGAGATGATTTGGTGAGCATAATGTTGCTATAGGTAAGCTGTTAGGGCAATGTTTAACCAGGAAATTCTAATCAGAATGTTCTGAGTGTGCTGTGTTGGACCGGATGGCTCGATTCAATCTAGAGACGGATAATCGTTCAGGACAAATTTAGGCAAAGTTTGTCAACGATATGATTTGTCTGATAATTTGTCCATGACGAAACGCTGCAAACAGACCAAATGAATCCAACATGGAATTATTTGCACAGTTGGAATTTAATTACTTGCATACAGTAGGTCACCTCGACAGATGATCAGTCTATTTTTTTTATATGGAACTATATGGACGAAGAGTCAGAAAAACTGTTAAAAACAGCATAACTCATATGCACAGTAAATTAAAGCCATGATCGTATTATATCTTGTTTCAGGACCCAAGCCAACATAGTTCACATTATTCTACAGTACTTAGTTAGTTTACCTGAATAGTAGTAGTACATTATATGGTTTTACAACTAGGACAGAATATTCATTATTCATTAAGCAGGATGATTCTCATCTTTACTGATGATCCATATAATATGACCAAATGCTGTACATTTAATAGTGGGACCACTTATATGAGCAAAATTAAACCTCAGCTAAATTATACCGGTAATAAATAAATCACGAATGACTCATAAATAGTTAATTTGTAGTTTTTCTATCAAAAAATATAACTACTTTAAAAAAACACAGATCACCCACCCAGATTGTATGAGAAGTAAGTAAATAAAAAGAGAAAAAAATGAATGAAACTAACTTTCCCATGTTTTCTGGTAAACATTCCAAAAATGTTTCATTCAAAATCAGATGAGTCAAACTCAATGAACTAAAAAGTCTGTCTGGCAACCTACAAAAAAATTAGTATTTATTAACCATAACATGTTATGCCATCACATAATCACATTATTCAGCACAAAGACACCCCCCCCCCTCCTACTAGTTCATTGTGCAATATCATCCCTGGATTGCCTGGGAGTACAAATACATTTACACATAATGAACAAACTGCATTTGAAATAGCAAAGGGTACAATTGCTTTGGCCCCTGGGATTTTTTCAGCCACCTTAATTGACTAGAAATCCTGGCAATGTCACTGTTTCTATGTCCCATAGGAACATTGTGTTTTGTATCAGAGCTTCAGAGAGGGAGGGAGGGGCTAAAAAATTCTGGAGATGTGTAACCTTCAAATGTTGTCTACCAATGGCTATTATTGGACATGTATGGGGCATAAGCTCAACAACCTTACCCCATAACAGTAGTTTATGTATGGTCCTATACTGAAATGCAGACATGAGTTTAATGTATTTCACTCATGAAAGCCAAGTAGTATGCAAGATGCATGATCATACTCTATGTTTTGTGTTAATTACAAATGTTATCCCTAGACCCCCATAATTTGTGAGGTTAGGAGCCACAGACAGATTTCATGCTGGATCTGCTGCTGATCGGGAATAAGTCTGGATTCACAAATCAGTACTGTAATGAGTATTAATGCGGGTGTCATCGGCTTCCCTCATGCTGGGGACCCCAGGCTGTGGTGGGGCAATTTGATGACTTTGTAGAGACTTTGAATGTATTTTTTACCCGAGATGTGGGGGAAATGTGGGGGCTTCGTGCCGCCATTGCTCTCTTCATAAGCAAGTGATTGTTTTCCATTGGTTTGAACTTTCATTTTATATGAGTGCAGCACCGTTTCCCGACTTTAATACGATAGAAAGCAGACTTTAGCCACATGGTTCTTGCTTCAGCCCTTTATTGATAAAGGTCAGCTGGTCAGGTGAAGGGTAGAGACTGCAGAAATCTGATTATTTTGCCTAACACTTTTGTAGTGAATAGGATTGGTCAAACTTTGTTTTGTTAATTTTCAAATTTAGTGTTTATGCTTTTAATGTCAACCAAACATCTAGTAGATTTCAATACTGAAGAAATATAGGGAGGGGGACATGGACTATCTTCCTCTTCCTGTTTATAAGAGTGTTTGTTCAAAATTAAATCACTGGAACTTGTAGCATTGCTGTTTTTCTTGTAAACATGTTATAAATGCAAATATTATTGGTGGGGACATGGGGGTGGGGACTTTGCAAAATCATATAGCCCTGTGGGGTGGGGAAAAAGCATGGAATTATAAATTAGTTTTTGCAAAGGCCCCACTATTGTCCGGGGTCCCAAGGGTGGGGAAAGCCGATGACACACACATAAATGACTACAACATCACAGAAAATTCCCCCTTGCCCCAGCCCTTGCCCCACAGAATTTCTCTGAGCAACTTTGATTGCCATAACAACAATGAACATACTTGACAATTGGATTGACACTTGCATCAAGTTGAAGTAACTGAGTGCAATTTTCAATACTGTCTGGCAACTCTGAGATACCTAGTAACAATGTGTAAACAGTTTTTGAATAATTAATTACCTCATGCTGATCAAGAATGCTGATCAAAACATGTTGAAATTAAACTTTGATCTAGAATTGTGATCTACTTACAATTCTTACTGACATCCAGCGACTCTACGCAGTCTAAATTTCCCAGAAACATAGACAACTCACATAAATTATTATCACTCACAGATAAAATTCTCAACTTTGGCAGATTAAAAATTCCCTATTAAATTAAAATAAACACGAACTTATTAGTACAAATTTGAATATCTGAATTCCTAACACTTTAAATCTTAATAAACAAGGCATTTTTCATCAAATATATAAAAACACAGTAAAATGAACAAATATATAATATTGTATAGCGACCTTTGGGAGCAGTTCAATATTATTCGAGTCGAGATTTAACTCTTCTAACATTCGACCATTGTCCAATATCTCTTGCGGGACTTCATCTAGTCTCTTATGACTATAGTCAAGTATTATCGGGTTTTCTTCCATTGTGTTATAACACGGACAGTTCTTTAACATTCCACGTTCACTTGAGCAGGATTATAAATCGAGAAACGTCTTTTGAGAAGTTTATATCTTGCCATATTAAGTTCGACTTTGTCACTTGATCCTGGCTATAACATAATCTGTATTTATACATCTCATCATTACTGAAAGACCGACTATAGACTATTATGTCGCTACTTAATAGGACATCTTTCCATATCTATCCTCGCCTTCTTTCGTATGTTTGTTGTTTTACAAACAAACTTTGTACAAATATTATGTAAGAAAACTTTCACCGTGATAGCGCCGACTCTCACACGCACCGGAAATGAGGAACTTGTTCTCAAACGGGTAAGACTATTCGTGCGTAAAAATAAATAAATGTTTCTTTTTATTTTCATAAATTGCTTTCAACATGGTTTCCGTTTTTCTTAATTAAACGAAATAATTATAGTGCGCAGTGAAGGAACAAAACATAACTATTTCAAAACTATATATTATGAACGATACTTCAAAATGGTATTATAAAGTACTGCCTTTCCGTATGACAAAGGGCCTGAAGAGGTGGGGGGTTGTGACGGTCACTTTATACCAGTGCTTCCATTTTCAAAATCAAAATTTCTCATTTTTGTCATCAAAATTTCTCTAAATTCCTTAGATTGTATACGTTATTTCCTTGAAAATTCCTTGAAATTTCATTAGGCGGTTTGCAGACCTTTGCAGTGCTTTTGTAGCAATACAAAGGGACAAAGGATTTAATCAATTTTAAAGGCACAAAATAGCACAATTAACAAAGATAATTGCTAGCTAAAAAACCATAAGACCAATTGCGAAACTTAGTGGCCGCGCCTTCATACTGCACGAGAACGAGGCTTATTATGCAAAAACAAAACAATTTCTATACTTTTACATAGCGAAAAGTGAATTTTAGGGTTTTTAAAGTGTTCTTTCTTGAATCTCTTTGATCTTTTCTTAATATTTCGTGCTAGGTTATATAAATATTTGTTAAATTTATCTAAACATCGATTTCCCACTATATTTTTACCCGCTTTGGAGAGATATTTCGTTGTTGTTTTAGCATGCGATGGGACAAACATGATATGGAAAAGATCAATCTAGACTTTAAAATCTGATCAAGATGCAAATAAAATAGCCAGTATAACTTAACAAACTAAAATATGACTCTTTCTACCCAGATTTTTTTAGACTTCGTGCGAGAAAAAACGATTTTGTCAAAGGATAATAACATAAAATTTCTACAAATTTTGCCCGACATTTACTTTCATATTTTTAAAGTTAAAATCGAAAACTTGCTATTATATTACAACTGAAACAAAATTAATCAATGTTACAACTTATTCTTTGAAAAGTATTAATAAAACAGACGGAAAATACCCGATTCTTTCTCTGGTATAATCTGCTTCTTTTATCGGACGGCGAAAAACAGCAAAACTTTGCCTCGCACGCTGCAAAAAACAATGAAATTTGAAGTAAGACTAAATCTATTAACAAGTTTAATAAAGATTTACATAGTCAAAACAAAAATATTGAAAAAAAATGAAGAGATTACCATAAAAACGCGTCTCAAACACTGAAATTCATCTTTCGCCATATTAAAATATAGCAGAATGATTTGTTTTTGCACAATAAGCCTCGTTTTCGTGCAGTTTAAGGCGCGGTCACTAAGTTTCGCAATTGGTCTATAGTTCTCATAACCAAACATAATTACAAAATTTCAGCTAGTTTCATAAAGAATAACGAAAAATATAATTGACTGAATACAGCAAAATGGATTTTTATTCGGACAACCCTTTCTGAGCGCTGTTTGGCTAAAATACGAACACGAGATCACCTGGACCCAATGGGTTAAAATAATTTTATTCACGTGGACCTTTATATGCCTGCCGAAAATGGATTAAAATTTGACAAAGAAATTGATCTATTAAATTGTTCTGTATTCCAAGGCAATATTTGGCAACAGTTTGATGTGACATCAAAGTCATTTTTTCTGACTTTGTTCAATTTGTATTTTGTACCATAATATTCAAAGAAAAATAATTTGATGATCACATTGTATTGCAATAAATCGTTCTTCATGTGTACAAAATTAGTAAATATAACGATATCATAATGACTTAAATTGATATTTCTTAAAATTTAGCTTGCGAAGAGAAAGGCAGCAAAGATAGAGAAGAGAATCCCACGAACGACGACGAAAAAAGCAGTGAAGATGACGAAGAGGAAGGCAGCCAGGACTCGTCATCATCATCTGGTGTAGTTCCTCCATCTTCACGTTCCAGAGGTGGGCAAGATCGCCTGTTTACTGAGAACGAAATGGCTGAGTTTCGAAAGTTATTCGCTTCAGTAATACATTCAGACAAGCCAATCACCACAAAAGTTGCCGTATCAATGTTAAATAAGCATAAGAAATTGAAGCACCTTAGAAAGAAATTTACTAACCAGCAGATATACGACAAGCTGAGGACGGAGAGGAAAATTGCTAACAGAGACAAAAACAAAAAGAAATGAAGATACTGTATAAACTCCTGTTAGGAATAAAAGCCAGCATAAAATTTTTAAACGAGGTATATTTAATTGATACATACAGTTGTGTACTCTGCAAAGAGAACCTTATTTTCGTGTCTCGTGCTGGGGGAGAGGTATTCACGTAATTCTTCGTCCAAGATTCTGGACGAAGCAAACTGACTAAGCGAAACGAAAATTAAGTTCTGCTCGCAGGGTATAACATACAGGTATGTACAGTATGCCCAAAGGCTGATTAACTGTATATGATACAATTTGTCATCCACGATTGTCATGTTCATGTATGTGATAAAGTTGAGCAACAGGTCAGTATCAGTCATCGAGTTTATAATTGGTTAAACAAGGTTAATTTCAGGTGTTTAATTAACTTGATTCCATATACACCAAAATGACAATTGTATCCAACAAGCTGTATCTTGTAAATTTGCCTAAATATTTCATTGTAATTAAACATCGTCAGAGAATGAAGTAATCACAGTCACCGTATTGCACAGGTTTGAAAACTAATCAACTGATATTCAAAAAGAAACAAAGAACATGATATACAGTATGGTTCACAACAGTTAATATTAAACTATTTAAGGTAAATATTGAAAGAGGTATACAAATATACGATGGGGCAGATCCTACATGTATGTTGCCATGTGGTTAGAGTTTTGAGATCGTCAACAACTGATAATTATTAGTTGTAATGACAATCATCAATTAATAAACGTCATTTCATATCCCACAAACGGGTACAATGATTTTGAAATAATTATGTCATGCATGTAAATATGAAACTGAGCTGATCCTTTGTCTTCGAGAAGCTCTTATGATCTCAAAACTCCAACTGTCTTTAAATGTTAGCATTGTACTGGTCCATTGTATTTGTTTTAATACCTCTTACAATATTTATCTTATTTAGTTTGATATTAACTTTAATTTGTAACCATATATTTGTATAATTTCTTTCTTATTGGTTGATAAATTCTACATTAAGTTAAACCTGTGTAATACTGTGATATTGTAATTAGTCTCTGAAGATGTTGTAGTTATGACAAAAAGTTTATGCTGGATTTTAATTTTTATAAGAGCTGTGCTTTTTTTACATGACCAGGCAGTTTATAAAGAACATCTGATTTACGGGAAGCTGTACTACCAACAAACTGCAAATATCAAACTACAGTACTGTATGCACTTTAACTGATAAATTTACTTTTTTTATTGATTAAAAGGGTTTGACTTTCCAGAGTAAAATAATAGTGACAAAACTGTAATGTACATAATAAGCATTGGAATATTTACTGGGATTTTCATTGAAAGGGTTTAAAAACACATATGTATATATAGATTCGCCTATAGGGATCTTACAAGAGTTTTTATCGGAAACCTATAGACTGAACTTCTACACAATAGTGCTAAACACTTGTATAAATGGTTAAATTGTACTAAGTGACGACTCAAATATAAGAACAGGGGTTTAAACTGTTCCACAATAAAATGCAACTTGGTAAAATTTAACCATTATATGAGTGTTTTTGCGTTTTATGTAAGACTTAGACGCAGCCTATTTTCCCTAAATCTATTAGGGAATTGGAACATTTCCTGTTGGAACGTTTCCTATCAAGGCCTTAAATCTATTAGGGAATTGGAACATTTCCCATGGGAAAACCTCATGGAAACACCTTCAGATATCACGACAGGATTTTATAGAAAAACCAGATAATTATTTGGAAAATTATAATTAAACATATGTTCAAGAAAAACTCAAACCTTTAAATTTTGTCAGTCGATCACAGATAAATTCATACAAAAAACTCCTTTAACATACTATAATATCAATATTACAGTTATTTATATTTTCAACAGAACAATAAACACAGATATACAATAAATAAATACAAGCTTATAAATATAAAAACACAGCTTTTTATCCATTTAAAACCAATGTTCAGTCTCAATGTTTACACAGTTAACCTTCTTGGCTCTGTCAGTATTTAACAGCTTGGTGATCGCTGCCTTTACTTTGGTTTCATCTACTTGTGTTCCAGTCTATATAGAAGCTGCAACGGAAAAGCAAACATTATATTTTATTAAAGAGACAAGTTATAGATGCAACATCTTGCATGACAGATGAAGCACTTTCATACAACTGAATACACATAACCGTACACCACCATGCTTTTTTATGCATACCAACAAAGCATATGGTGACACCTTTTTTCATGCCTTTTTCCGACTTCCAAACAGTAGCTGGACACTGGCAACTGTGTACAGTAAGCTATTCCTTATGTAAATAATATCTCTGGTATGGTATAGCCATGTGTTTTACTATAGATTCTACATGGTAGCCAGCTGTTTTCATTCAAATCAGTTTCAAAATTATTGAACTTATTAAAATTCAAAACTGCTGGCTGCCATAAGAAATCTATAGTAAAACACCTACTAATTGCAGGCTAATGCAGTCTAATGAAAGATAATGCAATGTATTAGACTGCATTAGCATGCATTAAACTGTATTACACTTCATAAGACTGCAGTATTGCCCTGCAGTTCATTACACTGAATCGTTAGATTACAATTACACTGCATTAGCATGTATTAGACTACTTTACAGACTGCATTAGACTACTTTACAGACTGCATTAGACTGCCTTACATTGCATTAGCTGCTAATGCAGTCTAATACATGCTAAATAAATGCATTAAACAAGTATGGGTAAATATGAATTTTTTTTGCATTTCACTCGAATGAATAGGACCACAAGTTTGATTCCTGTCAGGGACCTGTAGTTGCATTTTCAAACAAGTTGTTACAAGTCTGCATGTTTGCAAGCCGTCGACAAGTTTTGTGTTCGCACTGCTTGTTCCCAGTTGTTGTAACAAGATTTTATAGTCAGACTTGTTACAAAATTGTTCTAAGAAGTTTGTTACAGTCGTGATATAACATGCAAGAATGTTATGAGATTGATGACACAAGCTAGTAACAATATTGTTGTATCATGACTGTATTGGACTTGTTGGAACAACCTTGCAACAAGTCTGATTATAATATCAACAAGCTTGTTACAAGTTGTAGCAGACTTGTTGGAGGGACAAGCTTGCAATAAGTCTGATTATAATATCAACAAGCTTGTTACAAGTTGTAGCAGACTTGTTGGAGGGACAAGCTTGCAATAAGTCTGATTATAATATCAACAAGCTTGTTACAAGTTGTTAACAGTTTGTTCCAAACTTGTTGACAGCTTGGGACAAGCAGTGTGAACACAACTTGTTGGCAGACTTGCTAGTTAATTGTATATAAATCTACTCTGCAATTCCATCTATAAAACTTGTCAACTATTCATTTAATTTTTACCCATATCTAATTAACATGGCAGTACCATATACAGTATATATAAGAAGAGACAAACTTTGTTTACTTCATAAGATTTATTAACAGTACAAACTAGTTTTGTATGGTAGGCTATGCCCACCACACTTGATGTGTGTGGCCGGCATAGCCTACCCATACAAAACAAATTTGTAGTGCTAATCAATCTTATGAAGTAAACAAAGTTTGCTGTGTTGTTGTAATGTACTCAGGTGAATAAGATGCTTGTGATGTTACTTTATGCCTGGCCATGGTGAGAATAGAACATACGGTGGGAATCGAACCTAGTATTCCAAAGGTCATACAGTAGGTTCGATTCTCACTGTGGCCAGGCATATTTTTCAAGCCTGCCCGGTGTGGATATACACTCAGAGTAACATCATATTCACCTGAGGACGTACATTACACCAACAGAAAAAATGATTATTAGATTACATTGGTATCAAAGGAGCTAGATTCTGTTCTGAAATATCACATACTGGTACTCAAAACGACCTGACCATGCATGTAGCTCAGTTGGCAGAGCTTTCAGTTTGGGCTATAGTATTCCAAAGCTGGTAGGTTCGATTCCCACCGTGGACAGGCATATTTTTCAAGCCTGCCCGGTGTGGATATACACTCAGAGTAACATCACACAAACATCTTATTCACCTGAGTACATTACAACAACACAGCAAATATCATGATTATTAGATTACACTGATATCGAAGGAACTAGACTCAGTTCCGAAATATCACATACTCGGACCCGACCTGACCGTGTAGCTCAGTTGCCAGAGCATTGGGCTTGGTATTCCAAAGGTCGTAGCTTCGACACCCACCGTGGCCAGGCATATTTATCAGGCCTGCCTGGTGTGGATATACACTTAGAGTAACATCACAAGCATCATAAACAAAGTTTGTCTTTTCTTACTAATCCTCTCTGCTTCGATATTGAGCACCTTATTTATAAGATTTTAACTACATTTATATTAGATCATATATAAACTTGACAGAGACAGAATATGAAACTTGTGGTGATGCACTCTTCTTTTATCCGGTAAAGCTGAAACATTATCACAAGCTAGTGCACAATGCATCAGTGCTTTTATTAAAAAACATTTACCAGGTGAATGAAAATGCAAATTAAAAATACCAGTCAGGCATAATTAATACTTGAAGTATTCTTTACAACTGTCAACACACACACAGTATTAATTTTGCTTTTTAATACAGTAAAATACAGTGCTCATGCATAAAGCAAATATGCTGTTTTAACACCACCTTCAACTCAGTTGTACACCTTCAAGGACAAATTACAAATATCATAGAAAAAGCAACAAACTTCTTGTTTACTTACCATGAACTCACTTCTTAGAAAATAGCTTTCCAATATAATAAATTCTTTCGTTTTACATCTCCTTGAGTCATGATCAAGGTCTATGAGGTTTCAATTCAATCCCATATTTTATATCCCATGGAACAAATCCATTTCTACTCAAATGAATCAATATATTATCGATTTACCACCTTGCTACAAGAAACACTCGTATTTGATATGATTATTAAAGCAAAATAGTTGAAAATACAAAGACATTAGACACTAACATGTAATATATTATTTTCATTCCACTGAATAATGACAATTTCGGCCTGCCATTTTGTTTCCAGCGGCTAGGTTACACAAGGGTACAGCTAGGTTACACTGGGGCACAGCTAGGTTACACTAGGGCACAGCTAGGTTACACTAGGGCACAGCTAGGTTACACTAGGGCACAGCTAGGTTACACTAGGGCACACACTAAGTTACACAAGGGCACAATTGCCCTAGTGTAACTTGATAGGTTACACTAGGGCACAGCTAGGTTACACTAGGGCACACGCTAAGTTACAATAGGGCACGTCAATATGTCAGTCAGTCAGTCAGTCAGTCAGTCAGTCAGTCAGTCAGTCAGTCAGTCAGTCATAGAGTAAACTTTCCGGGGGGTGTACACGATTTATGTTCACAGTGATTTATTGTACTTAGTCAGTGCTTTGAAGGTTATTTAAGCAATTTTATTTATTTTCTTTAAATTTTCTTTTGTCCTTTTGCCAAGTTCACAAAAATTTCGAGGAATCGTTGTTGTTATTGTAAATTTTTGTAATTTCAGAACATTCGCTTCTCATGTTGTGTAAAGGATCTTTCCCCCTGGAACACCCGATTTTTTCTATAGCAGGGCAAATGCGCATGCGCTATGAAGCCGTAGATCACGATGCTAGGAAGGAGCGACAGTGTTGTTTTCAAATGTATAAATTTAAACATTTCAGACGTGAATATTGAGTAATCTTTGAGAATCTACGCAATATATAAATTTATGTTATGCATGATGGTCTTTCAATCAAGTACTGATATATGTGGATGGTATATTCATTAATATACAGAGCTAGGAAGGAGTGACAGTGTTGCTTTCAAATGTATAAACATTTCAGACGTAAATATTGAGAAAATATTTGAGATTGTAGGCATTCAATTGAGTGCCGATATTATTTTCACGGCATACTCGTTATACAGAGGTACAGTATACGTAGGCAGAAGCGAGACAGTGTTGTTTTCAAGTATATGAACATTTCAGACATGAATATTGAGAAAATCTTTGTCCTTTGAGATTTTACGCAATAATACTATTATGTTGTGCATTCCCGGTATTCAATTAAGTGCCCATCGATATTATTTAGACCGTGTATTCATTATACATTGTCATTGACTGTATAAGGTGCTACATCACAGAATAGATGGCTACGCTCAGTACAAAGAGCGAAACAACTATTAAACAGAAGTGGGTAAACGTTTGTACGCCGTTTACGAAGAAAATAACTTGCAAGACTAAAGAAATCAGTTGAGTCAGAGCTCCTTATTTAAATAAGAAAGACGAGAAGATAGCCAATGTGTTATCGCCAACGTGTTATCACCAATCGCTTGGCTCACCAACAAGCTTCATGCAATAGGAAAAAAAAGCAAGAAGGTACAGTACATGCAGCCAACGTGTACCGTCACGGGCCTTGTCTTTGTTTACTGTCTAGCACAACACCATTGTCAACGGTGCAAACTCTTGTTCAGTGCAATGATAACTCTACCGGATCTTACGAGAATCAATCTGTAGTATTCTGTACACAGATCTGTTCAAAGCTTGTCAAAACTGCTTTAAACACTGCTTCAAACACTCAATAATTCATGAGCTTATTGACAAATCATATCAACCATAATATGTCACGTGCAGTGGCCTTAAACCTGATAAAACACTCCTAATTAGTATTCTTTATATAAAGAATACTAATCAGGCAGTATCTATTGTAGTCGTGTCCTCATTAGTATTCTTTATATAAAGAACACTAATAAGGCAGTATATCTATTGAATTTGTAGTCGTGTTTGAAGCCGTTTAATAAACTCGCATGTCGTGTTTTATTAGGTCTAAAGCCACTCGCGCTGCGCACTCGTGTCTTCAAACCTAATAAAACACTCCTGCTTGTTTATTAAACAGTACTTAACTGTGAAACTATTGAAATCTAAAGTGATATTATTCAACACATGCGAAAAGCTGAAAATAGACGTGACACTGGGAAAAGTCAAAGGTCAATGAGACTTGTTATTGTGAAGCATGTCACAATTAGGTTAAAATGTTAAATTGTTGGTGAAACCATTTAAATTTTGAATTGTCTCTTGTAGCATCGTATAGCATCACAATAAATAGATAAATTGCATCAGTTTCACAAGTCACGTTTCTGGTGTGTTAGGCTTGTTTCAAACATCACGCTACTCATGTGCCGAGCATATTAAAAGCAATAAATAAATAAATGACAATGGATTGGTATATATACCGGGTGGCCCAAAAAAAAGTACTCCTGTTTGATTCGTAATAACTTCTAAACAAGTAAAGTTTTTAAAGAGAAATAACTTGCATTAAATAGAGGAAGGACTAACTTAGATTTTGATATATTACAGTTGTATTTAACTTAAAAATTCGCGGAGATATTAATGTTAAAAATGGGGAGCATATTTTGGAATGTGTCTAAAATTAGCGAAAATCGGCATATCAAATATTAACTCCAGCGTTTGTTTGCTTAATGACATATTAGGCTAACTTGTATTTCAGCAAATTATCGTTAAGGTTTGTAAGGGATATGGCGTAGATTTAGACATCTTACATGTAAGTCTTAGCTCATTGTTTCCTGAAATATGAACGTTCGAAATTATGCAAGTATTTAATATTAGGTCTTTGCAAACTTAAATGTACATGAAAGACTGACCATGGAAGGTAGGCGCTTAAATTTTTCGTATTCTTAAATAAGGAACACACGCGAATTTCGGACGAATGAATCTTGCTTGTATTTTGTAGATATAATAATACTTTGTTTCATAATAAACAATTTATCAAGTGTCATTTATTTACTGGTAATAGTGCATGTTTCAGTCGGGCAAATCTTGATTAATATTTGATACGCCGATTTTTGCATATTTCAGACACATCCAGAAATATCCTCCCGAATTTAAAGATTAATATCTCTGTGAATTTTTAAGTGAAATACAACTGTAATATATCAAAGTCTAAGTTAGTCCTTCCTCTATTTGATGCAAGTTATTTCTCTTTAAAAGCTATACTTGTTTAGATGTTATTACGAATCAAACAGGAGTACTTTTTTTTGGGCCACCCGGTATATATATATATATATATATATATATATATATAGCTATGTTGAGACATGAAAGATGCAGATTACTTTATTCATTTAAGTTCTTTGAATGTTTGCATGGCGATAAAATATAATTGTTTTTGTTTGTGGAAACACCACGTAAATTTATTACTGCAAAGCTTTCGATCCATAAGCCCGGATCTTCATCAGTGCTAATAATATGTGACTTGTTTAATTCACACGCTCTTTTTATATACAAGAGTGTCGTGATCTGTTGGCTCGCGTCATTTGAAATTTAATTAAACGGCACATTAACCACGTCATTTCAAAACGTAGTGAAGTGATTCCAATTAACGCGCGCATCCAAGACAAGAGAAATTAATTTTGCACATTAAAGAGAGCACGCCACGTACTATCTAGTGGCTTTCCCTCCTGATCTATAGTATTGTGCTTCTCGATTTCCATTGACTCTCTCATTTTGCGAGACAACTTATGACTATCCATCGCCAAAATGGTTGCTTCGTCCCATTTTATACGATGGTCGTAAGTCCAAGTATGTTTAGCCACAGCAGATTTATCTTGCTCGGCTTTCTCGCAATTCGTCTTGTGTTCCTTAAGACGTACTGAGAGATTTCGACCAGTTTCACCAATGTAAACCAGACCACATTCACAAGGAATGCGGTACACACCAGGTTTCTGAGATTCATTTACGTTGTCCTTATGTGTGCAAAGAGCTCGAAACAATTTGTTTTCGCTGGAATGGTATACCTTTATACCTGCTTCATTCCTCAAAATTCTTTCGATTTTGTGTGAAGCCGGACCAATGTATGGTAGACTAACAGACGACTGATATTCAATCTTCTGCTGTATATTTTGTGGCGTTTTCATAGCACTATCTATGAAAATAAATATTAATAAAATAAAAATAAATATAAAATAAATATTATCAAATAAATATTATCAAATAAAATATTAAATTTAAAAATAACAAAAAAAATTATTATTTTTTTTATTAAATTTTTAAATATTAAATTTTATATATTTTTATAAATAAATATTATCAAATAAATATTATTTATTATTAATATAAAATAAATATTATCTATCTATTTTATTCATTTAGTAGAAAAGAGATACGGGATTTCTTGAACAAGTAAAAACTACCATCACATTTTATTGAATCTGGTAGTGAATTCCATATTTTTGGACCTTGATAAAGAATCGTAAATTGCTTTATATTTGTACGACAAACATGAGGTCGATAAAAGTTAGCATTTCTGGTTTCATATCTATGAACTTGATTATTTGTTAAGAATAGATTTGATAGCGAAACTGGTAATAATCGATGATGATAAAGGAACATGAATTTAGCAATCTGGAAAATGTTCACCTTGAAAATATCTAATAATTTTATAATTGCGCGAATAGGGGAGCAGAATGAACACAGTAATCTGAATTTGTCATGACTCGCACTACTCTTTTTTGAAGTAGCCAGATCCGGTTTAAACTAGTTACATATGTCGAAGACCAAATTATGTTACAATAATTAATATAGGGATAAATTAAAGAATAATATAGTGAAAGTTTAGTCTTGGTAGATAAAACAAATCGCGATCTGGCAATTACTCCAATCGATTTAGAAATTTTATTACATACATGGTCAATATGATATTTCCAAGTTAGATTCTCATCGATATATATGCCTAAAAATTTAACCACATTCACTCTCTTGAGAGGTTTATCATCAAACAAAACTGGCAGGTTAATCTTAGTTGTCTTTTGTTTTGAACTGAAAATAACATAATTTGTTTTATTGATATTAACCGAAAGTTTATTCGTTTTCATCCAGATATTTAGTTTTTTCAATTCTTCATTCAATGAAGTTGTCAAATATTCTTGGTCAAATAAAAACTGAATCATAACAACTAATAACTGATGACGTAATCTGTGATGCAAATTCTTCTACCCGAGGAAGTACCCTATTGTTCCGGTAAATGTTTTGAATTGTTGTCAGAGTTGTTTGTGCATGCAAGTGTCACGGTACAAGAATGAAATATTCTAGCAAAATGCAATTCATAGCTTGCAAAGGTCACTTAAATTAAAAAAATTGTTAATGTTATGTCTCGTATTTCCCTTTCTCCAAAATATCAAGTATTCATTTTCCGTATAGCCAAATCTTACTGCATGACGACAGAATTTGTCTATACGTTTGATGTACTTATCCTTATACGCAGAAGCCCATACTTCTATGGCATAAAGAAACACTGACATTATTAAACTATTAAATAGGATAGCAAGATCAACCATCGAATATCCAGAGCATTTACATACTCTGAGAATATATAACCTAGAGCTTGGCTTATGTAGCATCATATCAAAATGAGTATCCCAATTATTAGGGTCCTCATTCAAAGTGACACCCAGTAAAGTTAATTCACTTTTCCTGTTTATCTGTGGCAGTTGCTGTTGTAAAATTTTCCTGTTCTTCCCTTGAACAATCATTTCCCACTGTTTTACTAAAATTAAGTGTCATTTCATTTTCTATCACCCACTGTTTGACATTTTCGACCTCTTCTACTGATAAATCAGGGATATTTACTTCTTGAGGAACACTCAGTGTAAGATCATCTGCAAACTTTTCTAATAAGTTTCTGTCCGAATTTAAAGGTTTAATATGGTTAACCATAACTGAGAATAACACTGGACCCAAGAGAAAATTTGATTGTGTAAATATGTAGAGAAAATTTGATCGTGTAAATATGGCTTAGGGTTTTATATTCAAGATAAAAATCAAATATATTAAGGTGGCTCCCTACAGTTCTCTAAAATTCTAGGTATTTTGAGTAACGTTCGCTTTGAACCGAATTTATATTAGATACACTTGAGACAAGGCAATATGAGCATTTCCAGGAAAGTTCAGAAGCTGTGTGCTGTCCATTTATGAACAAATTAAAACAGTGTTTGTGTTGCCATGGCAACCATGGCGTTTAATCTTTTGCACTTTTATTGTCTGATTTCACAATAAATTGACAATATCTATATTTTCCTTCGGTGAATTTTTCTGAAATTTTTTTTGAAGATTTATGGTCCATAAAGGAAAAACATATCAAAATTTGAAGGGAGTTTACAAATAAGTTTGAGATATTCGTGAATGACGCTTACAGAAAAAGTTATTTGTAGAATTTCTTAAAATTTGGATATGTTGTACCACTCGTCTTGTATAACAAAAATACAAAGTTTAAAAAAATTTCACCGAAGAAAACACGAGAAAATCATCACTAAAATTGGCGTGGCCAGCATTAAAAAAAATCGACTCGACATGAGCATGATCTGCGCATGTGTGTAAATTGTAGCGTGTGATTTATAGTGATTTCAACTTTTTGGCTTACAATACATACGAAAACAGATATTTCTGACTTGTTTGACATGAAAATAATATATTAATCTTGAAAATACTAATAAAAAAACACTATTATACGCATTGTATTAAATCCAGTGTTAGTTTACATTTGTTTTTGTTGTTAAAATCGGTGTGAAAACGTTTCAAAACATCGAACTACAAGTTTAACTTTTCATATAAAACAACTCATAACTGTTTTATTTGATTTAGCAGATAAAATGATTTAGACAAATATGATAGCGATAACAAATTTATTAAAGAACGACGTTTCGAAGTCATCTTGACCTCATTTTCAAGTTCAAATTATAACAGAAAACGATTAAATTAATATAAATAGCGTTTACATAATTGCGCAAGCAAACTAATTCGTCATACATGACAGTTGCACTTTTAAACTTAACAAGACGCCTACTCAGGCGTTCACTCCGCCTGCCAGCCTGCGGAGAAAATGGGGACAATGTAGGGTGCGACGGAAAAGTGAAGCCAAATATAAGCATTCAAAGACAAGTTGGTGTTCATAGCATTCAAAGATAAGTTGGCATTCAAGGTTAAGTTGGCATTCATGGCATTCAAAGTTAACTTGGCATTCAAAGGAGCAATGGCATTTACTTTTCTTTGAATTTTCATAAGAAAGTGCCATAACCTATAAGAGACAGAAATAGGATATTAATTCTGACACACCAATTCTGTTTGGCCCATCATTGTAATAATAGAGGCCCAAAAAGCATGTTTGAGTGGCTTGGTAGGTGTTCTGCCCAGAGTCCTAGTAGGGTTGAATTAAATACATTACACAACACATAATCTATTATTAAAAATGTTAGATGCGCGACCAGGATTCATAATAAAGTTTCTGAAACGTTCTCTGATCGTAAATTTTTTATTTGAAACACAAGCTTTCGACTGCCAGTCTGCAGTCTTCGACCTGTCTTACCTGTCGAAGACTGCAGACTGGCAGTCGAAGCTTGTGTTTCAAATAAAAAATTTACGATCAGAGAACGTTTCAGAAACATAATCTATTAATTAATGCATGAGTCAATTCCAGGAGTAACCATCCCCCCCCGGGAACACATCCGGGCCTTTGATTTGATTGGTTATGATAGTGTAAATACCCGGGTGCCGGGACACAATTTGAAGACTATTGCACGGCCCCTGGGCAAGCTGAGAGTGGAAAATGCCCCACCCCGGGGACAATTTTACAGTTGATTTCACGAAACTTTGACCACAAATGTTCCGAACTTCGTTGCGAAGTTCGCAAGTTCGTTGGAATTCACAAGCCAATTTGGAATTCACAAGCCAATTTGTAAACAAAGTCCCTGATTGGTCCATG